AAGCAGTAGCTTAGTTGTGCAAAATTGAAGTTTCAGTTTTAGTGGGCATTATGTGAACCAACATCCCCATTAAGACCATAATAGTAAAAAAAAAGAGTGCTATGTGTTTGTAATGGTAATTTAATTTAATTTTGTTTCCAAGCACACAATGTCATGTGCAATTTTTTTTCCTTCCTTCATGAAACAGAAAATATTTATGGCTTCATTATAATAAGATCTATAGTGTAGTCATCTTAAATTTGTACTGTTATTAATAAATAATGACAAATACATTCCTAAATACATTAGCTTGGTAATTACCAATACTATATTAAATAAGTAACTAGCCATAATCGTCCGCTTCGCTGGGCATTTAAAATTAACATTATTATTTCTCACCCCCCCAAACATTCACATCATTAACGCCCCTGCAACTGGTGTAGGGAGTCCAGCACTCATATAAATATTAGCCTATCCATTAAGTACATGTATTTTCTACATGGACACCAAGTTTCAAGTCAATCGGATGCATGGTTCAGTAGTTATAATGGAACATCCATAAAAACCACTGTAGATTTATATATTAGTATAGATGATAATTATCACATTACACATTTGTAATGTGTTTATGATGTATATTATTAAATGTAGTACAAACTGAAGAACCGCATGTTTTGCAATGCAGTTTGGTTGACTTTTTCCAACATTACTCTGTATAGTAGGTATATTTTTTTNGATGCATGGTTCAGTAGTTATAATGGAACATCCATAAAAACCACTGTAGATTTATATATTAGTATAGATGATAATTATCACATTACACATTTGTAATGTGTTTATGATGTATATTATTAAATGTAGTACAAACTGAAGAACCGCATGTTTTGCAATGCAGTTTGGTTGACTTTTTCCAACATTACTCTGTATAGTAGGTTTTTTTATTTTTATTAAAAATATATTTTCCAATTAAATTACACAATAACCACAGAGAAATCAATCTCCAATTTCATGTTCTTGAGAGAAAAGAAACCTACGCTTCAAATACGGTTTTGTTGGCTTAATAGTACTTTTTATGAGTTACAGCATTAAGCCTTAATTACTGGTGGTAGGACCTCTTGAGAGTCCGCACGGATAGGTACCACCACCCTGCTTATTTCTGCCGTGAAGCAGTAATGCGTTTCGGTTTGAAGGGTGGGGCAGCCATTGTAACTATACTTGAGACCTTCAAACTTATATCTCAAGGTGGGTGGCGCATTTACGTTGTAGATGTCTATGGGCTTCAGTAAGCACTTAACATCAGGTGGGCTGTGAGATCGTCCACCCATCTAAGCTATAAAAAAAAAAGCCGCTTTCCGACTACGCTATGATATAATAGCATATATTATATAGCTCATAGCACAACAATATCGCACACCATACATTGTTATGGACATGTTCACACTGTACTGTACTAAATATTATTGGCTAAGTATAGGCTGCCATACTTGGCACTATAGTATAGCGTAGTCTGAAAACAGCTTTATAGATTGTCTGGCTCTATGACACTAAGAAAAACGAAAAACGTTCATGGACATTCATATCAGAGCATTCTTCAAACGCTGTAATAATTTCCGTATCTAAGTTGTTTTTTAGAAACCAACCTGTGACCTCGTAAATATTTATTGGTGTTAACATAGCCTAAAATGTAATCAACGATCTTCGTATTTCATATTATATTGGATATAGAACAGACCTGTTTTTAAAGCGTCATCGCGCACCGCCAGGTTTTGTAAATCTTTTAAGAAGAAAACAACGCTAAGTACTTATTGTAGGTAATTAAAATTTAGAAGATGTTAAGACTTTGAACGCTCAAATCGCCTAGTTCGTTGTATCCTTAAACTTAGATATTTTGTTGATAAACATTAAAATACTTTAATGGAAAATACGATTTACTCACTTTTTAGACAAATGCACGAATTTCCAAACCGGCGGAACACGCGATGACAATGACAATGTACGTTAACGTAGACACGCTGCCTGCGCTCTTAACTATAAAGTTTATTGTCTATGGCTAACGCCGTGTAGGACTTGCAAAATAAAGTTTAAAAATTACTATATAATAGGTTGGGGAAAAAGTCTTTTCGTTCCTCCCGATTCACTAACGATGCTCAAGCACCGATCACCGTCCTCTTCGAACCCGTCACCTGCGACGAAGGGCTCGACGAATAAATTAACCCTCAGACACAGCCCACTGAGTTTCTCGCCGGATCTTCTCAGCGGGTCGCGTTTCGGATCCGGTGGTAGATTCTGCGAAGCACGGCTCCTGCTAGGGTTCGTGTTAGCAACGTCGTCAGGTTTAGTCCCGTGAGCTCGCAGTACGTGTGAACTTGGCTCAGTGAATTTGGCACCCCTTTTTTTGATTTTGGGATTATTTGTTCGTTAGTGTTCGAATGTAAAAGTTGTTTGTCTTTTATTTATTTATAATTAATTAAACAAATGATCACCCTTAAGTGGCCCCCCTTACTAGATATCTTTATTTTTATCGCTCAGTTTAATACATTTTGATCAATTATCGTTTATTCGACGACTATTGGTGATTGTTCGATCATAAAAACAATTCCCAATTATTAATTATTTTCTAATAAGCAAACCATCACCTCATGCCCTTGCGCATGCGCCGGTTTTGTCAGTCAGCTGGCAATGGCCGTATTTACTAGGGTTTTGTTAACAAAACTAATCTAATTATTTCTTATGTAGATCAAAAAATATTGAAAACTTCAACAATACTTCAACAAAAAAACGTCAGGGCCAATTAGTCGTTAAAGTACGATTAGCGCGGTTTTAATAAATTCAGTTATTTTTAATGATATTGAATATTAACAAGCATATAAAAATTTCAGTGATTTCAGACAACGGAAAAAGGCGCTCACAATTATCACATTCAATTATTATTATTCTTATAATAAGTAGATAAAGAGTCATAGTTGCGCCGACACGGCTATACTGACAGGCTAGGCGAGGCGCAGCGGTGCGCGCTCTGCACCAGCCGTCCATGTATGGTGTACTGCCAGAGAGTTCTTGGAGTCTATCTGAAACAATGAAATGTCTGTTTCTGAGATTGGTATCTGTGTATCTTTTTATGTTACTTTGAAACTAACTTACTTTGTGTAGTGTTATATTGTGGCGTACACTGTGGTACTTATGTAGTGGGCGTACACTGAGGTACTTATGTAGTGGGCGTACACGGAGGTACTTATGTAGTGGCGCGGCGTACACTGTGGTTCTTATGTTGTTGTTGTTGTTGTTGTTGTTCCGGTTATTACTTGCTTTGGGTTTCATAAACTATTTAAATTTAAGAACATGCAGGTGTTTAGCCCACAGAGTCCCAATCCTGCCATCATTCTGTCCGTGCCCATAGAGCCAGACTTTCTGAACGAATGGTTCACGGCTCCTGGTAGCCTTACTGCGCGTGTTAGCTCACATTTGTTTTACGGTCAATACTCTCTGGACTAACCCTCCTCCTTTTGCATCCGGGCTTGGGACCGGCAATGGCGGAGTTATGTAGTAATAAAAAATAAAAACTTATCCTTTTAATCAGTTGATTGTTGATTTTGTTGCTCGACCATGCTGGTTTGCGAAGTAGATGGTATAGGTTCATCGGCTGATGCTGGAGGGTCGTCTTCTTCCGTCGATACGGTTATCTGGTCTCCAGGTTGTTGCTGAGCGGAGGCGGCATGTGATCATGGGCGCCCTTGCGGGGTCGTCGGATGAATAACTGTGTCATAACACAGTTCTCGTATACCGACGTGGGTGTCCGGATCGAATGATAATAGATAGACGTCCTTGATCCTCATTTTTGCTTTTGTGGGCGAAGCACGTAGTCGCTCCGACATTTTTTTGCATCGTCTCCATCGTTTGCACCAGGAATTGTGGTGGTATCCCTCCCATCTGTATTCCATAGTGAGGGTACATTTGTAGTCTTGTTTGTGATTCTGTTTCCAATGATGTATTGTTAACTAGTGCAGGTTCTTGCTGCTGAGTGTTGGTTGCTTCCAGTTGATCAGGTGGTGAACGAGCTGATGAAGAAGCATCTAGGGTACGAGATCCTCGCAATCTCACTTCTGATGACGGAGGAGAAACGCTGACGGAATGTTTTTTTTAAAAGTGTGGTTATTATGTTCTCGACGATGACTCATGTTTGGGCTTCCGAAACAAAACTTCACGAGAATTTGGTGAACTGCGTATATTTCACGAGAAACGTAACACCGTTCCAGAGAGATTAGGCAGCGGCTTGGCTCTGCCCCTGGCATTGCTGACGTCCATGAGCGACGGTGACCACTTACCATCAGGTGGGCCGTATGCTCGTCTGCCTACAAAGGCAATAAAAAAAAAAAAAAGTGTGTGTGTCCGCTCCGACGCACGACTGGAGTTTACTGGATATAAAAAATTAAACGAAACAATACGAGAAATAGTTCTATATTACGACAACACGATACACTACAGATTATTAACAAATTTACGAGACACAAAACAAACGACTAACAAATATATGAAAATACAATAATGAGAGAAACGCGCGATCAGTACGAGGCTTTGTGGCGGACTGCCGGCGCAGCAGCCCGGCGTCACCTGCGATAACGC